CTAAATGAGTTAATCTTTTGAGTGAAATCACTTACACTTGTCTATTTAAGTACTGAAGAATGTACCCCAAGTGTTGATTTGAGTAGAATTAATGCCAAGCTTTGTTTGTTGCTGACAATAGATAATCATATATTCAACATCTACTTAGTGCCGTTCTTTGTTTGTGATTATAAAATGTCATCTGTATAAAAGAGAGAATTTGAGAGGGTAGTAGAAATAATGCGAGTAAAGGGGAAAACCATGTAGTTCAGTGTAAGAAGAGCTCAGAGATTACAAAGGCAAATGGGAAGATAGAAAATATTACTAATAGTTATTATTCGTTGAGTGCCTACTATGTGCAATAAATTATATAATCCTCATTACGATCATACAAGAATATATATTATTACCATTTTACAGATGAGAAAATTGATGCTCAGAGAAACAAAGTAACATATCTACTGGCAAACAGTAAGTCACTTAAAACTAAATTCTTCTGACTTCAGTCTACACTCTTTCTACTACATACACCCAACTTCCAAGAGAAACTTTTTGAGCTATCAATGACATATTCACGGTGCCTTTATGCTAAGAAACACTGAATTTGAGTTTGATTTACATTTTTGTTCTCAAGGTTGATCATCTGACTATTGTACTATATATCCTATATTAATGAGGTCTTAAGTTAAAATGTGCTTAAGTTTTCATATATCTCAATACTTCAGAGCAGGTAAAACTTTCAAGAATAAATTCTACTTTTTAGAGCTGAGCTGAAAATCTGCTTTGACTTTCTTTCTCTGCCTTTTTAATCATAATATTAAATCCATACTTCTCAGAGGGAATAAACTATGTTTTATAATACAGCACCATAGCTTGCTTGCTTGTATCTCACATTACAGAAATAAAAATTAACTACATTCTTTTGAGGAACCCGTAGGTTTTAATTTCTAGTTTGTCTTTTTAAACTTTATTTCCTTCCAACTGAATTGAGGTCCATGGACTTTTTGAATGGTTTTCTATGGATTTCTTGTTTTGCTTGTCTGTTTGCTTTTGGCATTTTTTTTTTTTTTTTTTGGCAGCTGGCCAGTATGGGGATTGGAACCCTTGACCTTGAGTTATCACACTGCCCTCTAGCCAGCTGAGCTAACAGACCAGTCATTGTGTGTCCACATCTCTTAACCATGGCCCCCTTACCTGTCTCTTCATTCCCTTGCCCTGCACATCCCTCACTCAGCTGCAGCACCCCAGCCTCCATGCCTTTCCTCCAACCTGCCTGGGTACACATGTCTGTTTCACATTTACTGTTTAGCTTTGGCTTTTGCTGCGATTGCTCCTCTCTCTCCCACCAGATAGCTGTATGATTAACTCTTTTACTGCCTTTAAGCTGCTCCTCAAATGGAAACTGCCCAATGGGCTTTCTCTAAAAACCCCTCCTTACTTTTGCAAACTGCTTCCCATACCC